GATCATTGCAAGAATTGAAGGCATATGCCCCTCTCTGGCGCCGGTGTAGGTTAAGCTTAAAATCAAATTTAAAAAAAAAACACTATACAACACGCAAGACAACGGAGTCACTACTTCTACGGGCCTCAGTCCTGGGATCCACAACACAACAAACCACAGTACTTTACTCGTGTTTTAACTGCTTACTTCACAATAAGCAACCGTCTGGAACACCTACTCAACTTCCTACTAGCCATGTGAGCTTTCACGTGTCGAAAAGTGGCTTTAATCAACACTGGTCTTGTTGCACCTTCTTTCAAATGCACACACATCCAGTAGCATGAAGGCATGCAGTACCTGTACTCCACAAAACCAAACCTACCGGGACATGGACATTGCTTCACCGTTGATGCTTCCGAAGACTGACGCCCCGACAAATACGGGCATAAGCACGGCGATCCACGGCATCGCGCGTTCTGCAAAGACCTAACACAACGACAATGCATTGTCAGATTGTGATTAACCAAAACTCAACCTACTTCCACGCTGATGTCAGTTACTGCTTGCATCAAACCGCCGTGCACGTACAACCTTTCCCTCAACAGCACCGACCGCATGCACCACAAGTCCACTTGCTCATGGTTCAACTCACCACAAAACAACTTTCCACGACTCCCCCACGCTCTTCAACATTACGCCTGATACAATTGGGCGTGCAGTTTCTTTTTTTCCAAAGTCAACTCCACCTCGATTCACCGACTGAGATTCTAGTCTGAGTACTGCCACTGAACAAGCCTCCACGCTGCCACCACCCTACTGCCTATCAACACAACACTTCTTCTGCCATCTCTACAATGCAACAGGATACAAGCAACCACGCACCGCTGCAGTCCACGTACTTGCTCAGTGTCCTCACCGAGATGTCAAACACCGTTAGGGAACTGATCCCTAGCTACTTGGCCAAGGTCGGCTCTCGACTGTGCATGATCGACAACTCACTAAGATAACCATGACGCACTACTTACTTTAACATTGGTCGTACAAATGGAGGCCTTAGGAAGTGCAACAACTCACCACGGCGATGGCAGACGAGCCCGAGCCGGTTGAGAGCATTTCAAAGGGACTGAGAACTGCCAGGTAGGCGATGTTCGTAAGCACGTAGAGTGCCGTTACGAGGGAGAGTCCAATTGCAATGGCCAACGGCAAATTCCTAAAGTGCGAAACACCCACAACTCATAGATAACCTAAGGTGCAATCACTAAGCATAGGAAAACACAGGGATCCTTCGTACCAACATCTCTCACAACACCACCTCAAACACACAATGCGTATCTAGCGTGCAAGAGAAAATTGCTATCGCGTCGAGGTTCTCCACATACCGACTCAGAACACCTGATTCACGTCTCACCTGCAGCTAACTTCCGACAAGGTTACCGAATCATGAATTTGTGCTGGCGATGGTGGTGGTAGTGATGTGTGCTTAAGACAATTATACCTTTTTTCGGGAAATTGACACGTGCGAAGTTCACAATGCCACCTAAACTGAGGTCACAATGGCATGCACATTCGGTGGCGTTTAACAATCACGCCGCTTCCGCGCAAGTGACAGTCGTCACCGTCGAGGTTGCAAAATACGCCAAGTTACTTGACCAAGTCAACTTTCAACACCAAGGTGCATCTCACGTACCTGCCCGGGTTGTCCATCTCCTCTACGAGGAAGTTGAGGTAATTCCTAAAAATAAAATTTGCAACAATAACGAATGACCAGTCGACTTACAATTCCCCAGATAAAGAAAGGACTCTCCTCGGTAAGCGACGAGGTGATTGTTACAGCGAAATAAAAACTCCCATACAACGCCAACACTTTATCAGCCCCATACCTTTAACCATCGCAATCAATTGAAATGTGAACAGAAGGCCTGTGAATGCACTCCTTTCGCTTGAATTTACTACATTGTGCATGTCACCCATGTCCTATCATGACGGCGAAGCACTGAAGAAACTCCTGCATGGACTGACGCATTCCGCATGTACCTACTCTGGACAATACCCTAATCTGCTCTTTGAGTCCAACCGTTTCAAGGCACTCGTTTCCTTCAAGAAAGCCTAATTCCACCTACTGCACTTCTGTGGATGCCTGAAAATCAGCCACCTCAACAGTAAACGAGCACAGAAAATAACACGAGAAATGCGCATTCCTGAATGGAAAGACAGTTCCGTGAGCTGCAAAATAACCGCTAATGCCAAAGTGTATGGTCTGACTAAACCCCTTTGAGATGATCTCACGGCCGATAACAGGTATGTAAGTGCACTATCCCACCAACCAACAACATACAAACATACGAACCATGACAACCCAACAGGCACCTTGAAGTAGTCAGGTTTGAAAGACAAGCCTACTACCACCAATCGCAGGTGCGGAAGCAACTAATGTGAAACACATCTACTCAGGCATTATCTCATTCCTGATTCGATATCGATCTGTGCAACAGGTCTTGTGTGCGACTCACCAACAACCAACCTGCTTGCATTTTAATTCAACTACCTTTCCTACTGAAGGCACATCCAGTGTCACAGGCTGCGACACAATTAACAACTTTATGATCCTAATTCACGTCGAGTGCAAACCATAAAGTACCGACCAACAATGCGTCAGCTTGGCACACGGTGCGGCACAAACGACCCAGTTAACAACATACGCTAACTGAAATTTCACTTACCAGCCCGAAAATGCCCAGAAGCCTTGGTAAAATGCAAGGGCCAGAAACCCAGGCGACGTGTTTGATCCCTCGAATGCATTTTCAAAACTCTCCACATGGCCTACAAGAATGAACAACCACCAGTTTATGCCTCGAGGAACTCAAAGTAAGTTATAATTTCAACCAATACAATATACGCAGTCCAGAGTCCTCGCGAGGGCTCTAGTCTTCCATGGTTTCAACAACAAGTGCCGCCTGGAGCAAACACACCCTCCTCAATGCTTCCTACAACAACTTACCCGTTGCAAGGTAGTACACGCCGAAACCTATGATGAGGAGAAGAGCGAGAACCTTTCCGCACGAGAATACAACTGCAACTCTAGCTGCCCACGCTACCTTGTAGCAGTTGATTGCACAAATTAACACTAGAAACAATGACCATGTTAATCCACACCTACTCAAGCCCGCAAGAGCTATCATACTGACAACGTGCGGCGGAATGCGACAGTTTGGGTAAACAGGCTGAAGGATGTACTCAGCAAAAACTATCGAATTCGCTGCACAACTGACGCCGCCGATAATCACAAATGTGATCCACATCACGATGAAGGCTGGTAAGCCACCGAATGCTTCGAGGATATATGCGTATTCACCACCGGACTTGGGGATTCGTACACCGAGTTCAGCATAAACCAAGGCACCCAGAATACTAAACAATCCTGGTATAACCCACATAATCATCGAAAGACCGACGGAATTCGAATATCGAAGGACACCAACTGGCGATACGAAAATTCCAGAGCCGACGATCACACCAAAAATTATACTAACAGCCTGTAATATTCCGATTTCCTTCTTCATCTTGACAGCCACCCTTTCACCTCCATTCTCCGAAGTAGACAACTCCGGCTCCCACGAATCTCGAGCCATCACAACACCGACAACGTGATATGTGAACGCCAAATTGGATCAGCGAAGAGCAGGTGGTGATTCTCGTTGACGAATTTAAACAAACAAACAGTGCATTGTGCGAATTTCGGTTGAATGTCTGAATCGTATTTTTTTTAATATTAATATTTCAATTTGTCATAGAATTACTGCTAACACAAGCATAATCTGTGGATGAGTGCCAGTGCGTAGATTGTATTTGTTAGACAAACACGTCACTCCCTGGTGCCTCATTCACTGCCAGAGAAATGTCGAACACTAAGCATTGACATTGACATATATTGCTACAAAACTCTTACGCTTGACTTGCACAATGCTAACGTTTTGATGCGCACAACGTTGTGCATGTGGCAACAATACAATTGGAAAAATCGTCCAAAATATGGCTATTCGCCTCGATGTTGGATGTGTGCGAAACCGATAGAGTATGATTGATATCCTACCGGTTTGAGCAAATGTCTTACAGTTTACGTGACGCAATTCAGGCACTACAGTGCTTGAGTGCTTATGTGCTATCAGGGCATTGCTGCGTATTCCCATGCATCGACGAAGATTTGATTGTCGATCCACAATGGACTGTCAATAACGACGATGGTTTTTGTCGTTTTGACGAATGCTTACAGTTTCAAAGAATTCAATGCACATGAATCTGCTTTCCAAGTCGTCTCCTTATACTCTAGTTATTCTTTGATGATAACACAACTTTAATAAAGGCAGACAATATTTTGGCATCCCGTGTTACTATGGCAAAGATAATTACAGTCTAACCGAAAACTAATTATAGTGGGAGTGCTATTCACCATTCATGCATTCTGCACTAATTTGCACTTCACGTGAGCACATAGCACAAGGCATCGTGGTTTATTCCCTTAGAATGCGAAACTGATTTATCTTCGTGTTATCAGAGCAATTTCCATGGTGGATTATGTATGGCAGTTGGTTCTTGGAGAACCACAATGTCATACGCTGCACTGATGCACTCGACAAGGGACGATATACTTGGTTTTCAACTTACCGTACAACGGACAGATGTCGACTTGCAGCTTCTGTTTATTCAAATGTGAGAGCAAATACGTCGAGCGTAGTTCAAGGGGATCCCTGCAACCTCGTTTTGCGTGGACAGGTTTCTCTGCCTGCAGCGACCCTACCGAGACATTTGCTAATGCCTCTCGAAAGAAAAAGCGCTTAGTATTTTACGTGGAAAGGCTTTGGTTGTGTGGAGGGAGAGAAGAGCAGATGGGTGGTCACGGACCATCTCACCTTCGTTGTTTTGATTCTGGTTCACGTTGTTATCGCTACTCATCAACTACTTGGAAATAAATGCGTCGAATTTTGACATCGAATGGAAACGTCCATTCCGTTTGGTAGGACGTTGGTTTGAATACAGGAGAACAAATGTGGAGGAGTCACTCAACAGATAGTGCGTTTGTGCACTCCTTACCCCTGAGTTACCTCAATGTTCACACTGGCCACAATATGTAGAAAGGTGCATGCAGAGTCGGCAGACATCAAGCTGAACAGGGATGAGTTCCCAGTGCCAATTATTGCCTACGGACAGTTAGATGAATAGGGCTGTCAAGTAGTGAGACACTGCACACGGCTATTTCGCTGAAATGCATATTTTTCGAAATTGACCAAGCCTTGATGTTACTCATCATGCTCGACACTAGTCTCTTATTTGATGAATCCGTTTGTCGCTTGTGATATCTTTCTTTTGAGCCCTTTCCTCCGGTTGCTACTTTTGTCCGTATGTGGTTGATTATTTGTGCTATTTTTTTCTTGAATATTACTTTTGGGACACAGTGGCCTGTTACTAAATTTTTTGCATGTAAGACGGAGCTGATTCTATTGAGTTATTCGTTAGGTACATTTTACTTAATTTTTTCACGTAGGATAAATTAGAAGTCACTTTTATTTATTTGCCCATCTCTTTTTGCTTTTTATTCCTAGTTCTGATGTTTTAGGTTGCATACTAATATTTCGATTTCACATAAAAGTTAGGCAAACCATTTAGAGAAAAAATTTGTTTAAATATGTTAAGAAAAAATTCGTCTTCTGGTCTTTTGATTTTTTTAGATGATCTCGTAATAAAGTGAGTTTATTTGGAATAATGGCTTTTGTGGGCAATTTTAGTAGCAGGAGGGTCTCTTGTGTGTGTTAAATCTGGCTTTTAGACGTTTGTGTTTTCAACCTGCCCATTCTTCCGTTCTTAAACTGTTTTTTTCTGTGGTGTGTATTATTTGTGCGGACTAAAACGTGGCTTCTGTTAACACGTATTTCTTTGTGCGTCTTTTAACATATTTAACGTATTATTTTTCAATCTGGATTATGCAGTTGTTAATATATGTCCTTCATTTAACTGATGAACAACACTTTGGCGCATGCCGAAGATCATTTAATATATATGAATTCGGTTTGGCAGTATATTAACAAAATCATGTAGTTTGGTTGATATTTACAGCAAATCTCTTTACCTTGCAGGTTTTTTGTCGAATTGTCTTGTTTTCGCGTTCAACGTATCCTTATGACTGTATTTCCGCTTTTACACCTGGAAATATTACGAAACCCGTATTTGAAACTGATGAAATTTTTAAACTAGAGATTTTTGTCTAATGACTATTTGCAGTATCTACGGGATGTGTATTTTCCCTTATTATTTCACTTCCAGTTCTAATCAACAAAACTCATAATTTTATCTTGTTCCCTTTATCTTCTGTGCAAATTCTATCCTTTAGGTATGTTTGTAAATTTTCGGATGTTTTTGAATTGACTGTAACAGACCGACAATATAGTCTGGATGTGGCGATGATATTAAAACTCTTTTCATTAATATTTTTCGGGTTTTCAAATAAGTGTGAGGTTTTACTGTATCGCTCAATAAAATTGATTTATTAGCGGAATGTCGTTTTTGTTACTTTTAGTGTGAATTTCCAAACGATTTTTATTGTTTGCTCACCATAGACATGAATTTCAATTTTTGGTTATTTCTACACCGGCGCAGGAGCACTAGCGTGATATCATCCCATTATTTTGCAATTAACTGACTATTTTATGCTGGTTTATGCACAATCTGTATTTCTGTAATCCAGTGGTAATTCGTCCAAAAATAACACTTTAATCAACTTTGACAAGCAGGTTGTAAACATTAATTAGCCTCGTTGGTTAAAAATATATCAATTTAAGTGAAGCCAACTATCAAAACTTCTAGCTGGTTACGAAAATCATACAATTATCACTTATACTGCGCCATTTTCTCTAAGTATTTTTAATACACACCACAGACATATGACAGCCACATTTTATTATGACTTTAATCAAACTCAGCGATTTCAAGTTGCTAATTAGCAACACAAATTTTAGTGTGAAATATATAGAACTGAATTCTTCAGCTATCCCAAGCAAGAAAACTAACTGAATAATGATAGCGGATTATTTTTGTTGAAATATTGAGGAAAATACTTTTTTAACATTTGTGTTGATTCTCGTTTCTGATCAAAAGACATAGTCGCTTCTTAACGCTTGTAGCCACCAACCTAGAGTCAGTTTCAAATCACTCATTAAGGTTATATATATTAAATTCTTTCGTCAGGTTGCATCTTAAAATAAACAGATAATATATTGGCGTCCTGTATTACTATAGCATTGATAATTGCAGTCAAACCGTAAACTATAATATGGGCGCTTTTCACTGTTAACGCACCTTGCCAAAACCTACATCTATCGTGAGCATATAACGCAAGAAAACATAGTCTAGTCACTTGAACCGCAAAACGTATTTCTCTTCCTTCTGCCAATGCTGCTGACATGGTGGCTAAGATCTGCCAGTGGTTTCTTTGAGGACAACATTGTCACATGCAGCAACAATACATCATTCAGGGTACGATTTACTTGGTTTCCAACTTACCGTACAATGAACAGATGTTGACTTACGGCTTCTGTTTATTCAAATGTGAGGGCAAGTGTGTCAAGCGTAGTTCGCAATGATCTCTGCAAACTCGTTTTACGTGGATGGGTTTCTCTATCTCACAGGAACCATACCAAGATGATTGGTTGTTGCAAATTCTTTAGCCTTTAACAGCAAATATAATCTTCTATGCAGTGGCAAGATCCAAGTTGAAAGACGTTATATGGTTAATATTTTAGTCAGAATGGCGTTTATTGTGCGAAGAGAGAGAAGAGTAAATGGGTGGTCACGGCCTATCTCATCTACTTTGTTTTGGTTCTGGTTCACTTTCTTATCGCTACTCATCAACTACTACGGAATGAAGTTGATGAATTTTGACATCAAATGGAAACTTCCATTCAGTTTGGTAGGTCGTTCGTTTGAATTAAGGTACATAAATGAAGAACCCCTAATACTTCTCTGTAATCCAGAAATCAAATGAGACTAAGGAACTAAGAGAACCTTTTTTAGAAGTACAAGAACGGAGATGTCTCGTCGCATGTCCAGGTAGACGTCTCTTGTTCCCAGTGATGAGCTCCTCTGTGCAAATTGGTTAAGCACTAGCATATCAAGGTTTAGAGCGCATAGATTATCATTGAGAAAGTGAAGGTTAACTTCCTTATACCTCGGTTCTTTTCGATCTAGCAACGTTTATCGACCCGTGGGATCTCATATCCAACGGTAACCTAGGGAAAAAGAAGACGGCGAAGAAATAGGATGCATGCCTATAGGACAAAATAATGTAAAGTTCTGGTTACCGACATCTTGTTCTCAAGAGCCTTCTCTTTGTGCGCTCGGTTCTGTGCCGATTCAGAAGGTGCTTTGTTTGTTGTATTTGTAATACTATTGTGAATGAGTCACTCAACAGATCGTGCGTTCGTACACCGCTTAAACTTGGGCTATTTCAATGTCAACATTAGTCACATAGGTGCATGCAAAGTCAGCTGACATCAAGCTGAACAGGGATGAATAAGCATTGACTTTTAGCGCCTTTTGACAGTTAGATAAATAGGGCTCTCAAGTAGTAAGTCACTGCATC